TTAGTATTATTATATTATTAAAAATATATTATTATTTAAACGTTAACATTTTTATATAATCATTGAAAGAATATTAATAAATAATAATAATAATAATAATGGTAAAATTGTTGTTATTATTATTATTGTTATTATTATTACAACAACAACTTGCCTCTCACCGCTGTGGGTTCGAATCCCGACAGGGACTTTGGATTATTTCATGTGAGGAAGCTATCAAGCTAGCTAACAGAACTTCGGTGGTTCTACTCAGGTGCCCGTTCGTGCCTGAAATAATGCACGGAAGGGCACTTGAGGTCTTCCTCCACCAGTAAAGCTGGAACGTCGCGATATGACCTATACTGTGCCGATGTGACGTAAAACCCAAAACAAACAAACAAACAAACAAACAAAAACAACAACAACTTTTGTCAGTCATAACACTTAGAAACCTTTCGCAAACTGCTAAAAATCAGTAAGTAATTTTTTTTCTATAATCATGCTTCTTGTATACTTGCAACAATAGGAAATGCATCCAAGTAACACTAAATAGTTTTTAAAGAAATCTTTAAAAAATACTGGACAAAATCACATTGTTAAATAGATGGATGTGTTCATACGGCAGTTTTTATCGCCCTTCAATGAAACACGTTCATAATTTTCAATTGGGTTATGAAGTCCGCATATCACAGATAAGGCGTGCTTAATATCGTAAGTGTGAGGTTATAGTATTCAAGTAGGAATACTGGAACCTCTGAGGTAGAAATTTATTAAACAAGCAATTGTCATAGTATTGCAAGCAAGCCATTGGCCATTCACTAATGTTTCAATTTTTCTGTATTTTAAGTAAATTTGTTGGAAAAGTTCTTTAAAAGTGATCACAGGAAACAGTTTTTATGAACAGACAGACAGACTGACTGAAGGACACTCTAAAGTTAATATTTGAAACAACCCTGTTACCAAAATAGAACATTTTTAAAAGCAAAATTCTTAAAGAGGAGATAACTCTTGAATTAAAGATGCAATTTCATAAAAAAAATTCAGCTCTTTTTGACTAATCACAAATAATGTTATATTTGCCATGTTTTAAGCCAATTTGTTGCCAAGGCAACCAATATTTTTTCAAAATAGGGAGAACAGATAAGACATGCATAATCTCAAGACTGCCATCTACCCATATGTCAAGTTTCATAAAAATATTTCCAGTACTGTTTGAGTTATCACTGGATTCAGTGTATGTGTCAATTTTGCCATATTTTCAGTCTATGTGTTGCCATAGCAACCAGAATTTTCTAACATAGGAAGAAAAGAAAAAGACGTGCATAATCTCCAGACTGCCATCTACCCATATTACAAGTTTCATAAAAATATTTCTATTACTTTTTGTGTTAACACAGGATCCAGTTTATGTGTAAAATTTGCCATATTTTCAGTCTATTTGTTGTCATCGCAACCAGAATTTTCAACATATGAAGAAAAGAAAAAGATGTGCATAATCTCCAGACTGCCATCTACCCATTTCAAGTTTCATAAAAAAAATTCCAGTACTTTTTGCGTTATCACTGGATCCAGTTTAAGTGTAAAATTTGCCATATTTTAAGTATTTTTGTTTCCATAGCAACCAGAATTTTCAACATAGGAAGAAAAAAAAAGGCATGCATAATCTTCATACTGCCATCTATCCATATATGAAGTTTAATAAAAATATTTTCAGTACTTTTGCGTTATCGCGGGAGCCAGTTTTGTGGATGGACGGACGGACTGACGGACTGACAGACAGACGGACGGACGGACAGACAGACGGACAGACAGACAGACGGACGGAGGGTAAACCTAAAGTCCCCTCCGGTAAACCGGTAGGGGACTAATAAAAGGGATAAACATCACACAGCAAAAAGTTGATGTACGGTCAGATAGCTTCTGTTGAAATATGCAAGGAAAGCGGCAGAATTCAGTGACACAGGGAACGTACATAATTTTAAAAAACCAGTTGTTGATAATAATTGTAAAAATTGTTAAAAAATCGCTTTTAACTAATACTCAAAGGATTCCTAATGTGGCAAATATCTGTAGCGGCTTTTGAGAAAAAGAACTCTGGATGATCGCAAATCTTTTGTAGAGATAATTTAAAGAAAAGTGTATCCCTACTGATTTCGCAATAGACAAAATAGTTTTCCTGATTATTACCATATCAATTTGACATTTTTGCGGAATTATTCCTAGATCTATGTAAACTCTACATTAAATTATTCGTTCGAGTGCATTCATGTTGTAAAAATATCCATAGAAAAGATACAAATTATGAGTTCTTTTTAAATTGTTTTTGTTTGATAGAATCACTAGTCAGACCATATACGGTAATATAAGAAAAAGAATCATTTTTCAATCACAATCATGAACTATATATTAAAGTATATTAATATTATATTAAAGTTGTTTTGAATTATCTTGGTTTTACTTTGCTGTCTATTACATAAATGGTCATCGCAAAAATCAAACAGAGCAAAATATTCTCAATTCTCGTTGGATGACCGTAAATGTGTTCACTTATTTCTTTTTCCCCTTTTCCTCAATAATTCGAGCCGTGCAATTTTTTGGTGTTTTATGTTTGAAGTCACTGTACTGCATAGCTGAATGCAACATATTTGATAAACCGAATTGTTTCAGTTATAATTATCTTACAAACTTATCTTCTAGTGAGGCAATCTCTCTTTATGTATGACAATCGCATCGATAGTACCTAAATACCAGTCTTCTATAATTGAGACGTTCCGATGAAAATGAAGAACAAAAAGGAGAAGAAAAACGAAGAACAATAATGTCATTAACTTGACCAGCGAAATAATTAGATAAATGAGAGACCAGAATAAAACTCCAAAATGAAGACATTGTCGATATGAATAGCTTCAAACTGAACCTCTTGGGATTTTACATTACTCATCTATCCCAAAAGTACACTGGGAAAATGGAGTAAAAGTAATCCTATAATAAACCTTAAGATAATTTGATTCGTTTGGTAAGACTTTGATACAATAATAAGAAAGCTGGAAACATTGTAATATAATTTATAAATGAGAAATCATCATGATTACATGTACTTGAGTACATTTTATAAATTGCAACGATATAAAAAGTACATTATACGAAAGAGGTCACAACAAATTCACGTTTATAAGAAAATCGTTAATGGTAAGAAATTATGTTCTGAAGAAAACATATTCTTTACTTCAAATATATTCTTTACTCAATCGGATTGCTACTTTGCATATAAGTGCAATCGCTACTCCGAAAATTCATGGCCAGCACAAAATAAGTGACACCTAAGCAACGGACTCTGTGAGTGCATTAAAACACACAGAGACAATAAAAGGGAGGGTCCCAGGGCGTCGGAGGAAATAAAAAAAACATAATAAAATAGAATAAAAAATGACAATATTATTATGATTCATTATGCTGTTTCGAAATGTACAAAAATGATTGCCTAATGGAAGGAATGTTTCTTCTAACTTCAAAAGAGAATCGAATGCATACAGCCCATTTCATATAGTTATGATATTTTATGTACTTTCTTTGTTTCGTGTAAAAATGCAAACCAAATAAATGATTCTACAGGATATCATTTTACGTTGTAGTAAAATTGTTTTGACCCGTACAGTTTGTTTTAATTATTCATATGGAATAAGGAATATGAAAATGACAATTTTAATGCCGTGTTTTAAATCATCAAACCTTAAAACCTGAAATGTACAACTCTGAGTTTTGTAGTATCTACTAGAATAAGTCATCTGTGGATTTGTCTGTTTTATTATTAAATTTATTTATTGCATCTGTTTACATTTGTGTGATACCTGGTGACTTTATGTCCTGTTTTGTGCGCATTTTCAGATCAAATTTCTAGATAGAACGATAAAAATTATACCGCACACCAGGCGCCAAGACTTATAGTGTTTGAAATGTTCTGCTGCCAGATTTCGTGAAAACCTTGACAAAAAGGTACTTATTAACAACCAGGAAGGTTGAGTTGCATTTTGATATGGCCAAAGCCGCTAATTGTATAAAACTAATAAAATGACTGAAACATTACCATTTAATTTACTTATCGATTTCCTGAAACTCGCAAATGCTCGATATACATTCATGCTTGGTATCATTAAATTAATTAATTAATTATTTTAGCTGATACCGAATATATTGTTTTATTTTATTTTTGTTATTATGTAGAAAACTGTCAAGCTTATTAACACAATTAATCTTGAATCTATTCATATAATTAACCAGTACTAGCAATGAGATCATTGATGGACGATTGCGTATGAACAACTAACAGAAACTCAACAAAGACAGCATTTACAATATTCTTATTATGCATGACGATCTTTTACTCTGTAAAAATAGAATAACGGATACTGGTTTCCTAGCAGTTTCCGGACACTAGCAGTTTTCCGGCCGTTTATCATTTTCGTTCATTTCGGTTTATTTTTTAACTATAAAGCATCTAGAAACTTCATCAAATCATACAGACGTTTGTTTTCTAGACAACGCAGCAAATAAATAAGAACAGCGGTCTATTTATTTTGAGGAATTGCCGGTTGTTTGTAGCTACTTTACGGAACTTGTCGCATCACCTATTAACAACACCTGGGGATTTCCAGCTTAAATGCGCATGCGCAATAAATGAGGCCCCATTCGAGGTAAATTAATATTTACGAACATTTTACTTGCAGACGATGTGTTAAAAAAATTTTAAAAAATTATTCCAGCTTTAAATATACACGATAAATTATTACTATCACAGTGAAAGATGCACAGAAAGTCGTTTGTAGTTTTTTACAGCAAGAATAAATAATATCGCATAAAATATCGATCGATGCTAGTTTTACTTTTATGGTTATATATATTTTACAACCGCGTACAATCAACAATCCTCTGTGGCCGAGAGGTATGATGGCTGGCGTTGTACAAAAGCGACCTGGATTCGATACCAACTCTCGACCTTCTTTTTTTTTCTCTCTCTTCTCTCTCCTTTTTTATTTTTATACAAGCTGTTTGCGATAAAATTTGTTTTACAAACTTTAAAATTTATCTTATTTCCGAAATAAAAATTATTATTATACATTACTGGTTAAACGTTTTAGGTATTATAATGCCAAAGACATACACCGAAGATCAACTAGCGTCAGCTTTGTCAGCTGTGCGTCAAAGAAAAATGAAAATTACAGCGGCTGCTAGAATATTCGGAGTACCAAAATCAACTCTCTCTGACAAAGTGAGACACAAGTACTCGGGAAACAGACCTGGACCAGAAAAACAGCTACTACAACACGAAGAGGACTCCCTTGTCCAGTATCTCTTATACATGGCGAATCAAGGCTTTCCACTTTCCAGGGCTATGATCAGGTGTTACATACAAGAGATAGTTATACAATCAGGTGTGTTTTTTTTAATATAAAATGTTCCATGGTTAATTTGCGTGTTTAATTTTAGAATCTTCTCGACCAATTATAATGTGTCTATCATAATCATATTTTAAAGAATTCTAACATCAATATCCAAGTACAATGAAAATATAGTTATATTTAAAGTACTGTAATTTGTTGCAATTTTTCAGGCCGTACGTCACTGTTTAATCTACAAAAAGGACCCTCTGATGATTGGTTTACAAAGTTTTTCGGGCGGCATCCAGACTTGGCTCAAAGAAAGGCAGAAAACATGGACAATGCCTGAGTATCCATGTCATTTAAAAGGATGCTTGACATTTTTTTCCTCTTCTCAAATCTATTCTTGATAAATACAACTTGAAAGACAAACCAGAAAGAGTAAGCATTGTTTATGTTGGCACTTATATAGAATAATCGTTCTATAACGAACTAATTATCTCTTTTACATATATTACTCTTTTTATATATTATGGCATTTGATACATAAAATCTGTCCATATGAAATATGAAAATACAGGTAACAAAGAATATTCAACAACGGATCGTTATAATAAGCATACCGTGTATGAATAATTTAAGTAACTGTTATGTTTTATTATTAGATCTTCAATTGTGACGAAACTGGATTTACAGGAAAGGAGGCACCTAAGTCGAAAGTATTCGGGCCTCGTGGAGGGCATTTGTTTAGAAGAAAGACATCTTCAGGAGATCACGTGACAGCACATCTTTGTGTCTCAGCAGATGGACACTTTCTACCACCTCTTATAATTTACAAGGTATTTTATTAAGTATGCATTTGCTAGCGATAATGCTTTGAAGAAAGTATAATAATACTATTTTTCACTTGCAAATACACTTAACCCAATCAATTCTTGTGCATTTTACGATAAAACAATTATTTCAATATCGATCTATACCAATTAAAGTATCAAAATATTAATACCGTCATTTAAATTGCCTATTTAACTGTAAAACACCAATTTACGCCGACTAAAGACGTCCATGACATTTAGGTGTCACGCGAGACCTCGTATGACGTCATTTGCGGAAACCGATTTGAACAGAGTCGTGTACTATATTTAGAACATTTTGTTGACATGAATTCGATATTTTTATTCAAAATAATGTTTTTATTTATTTTCATTAATTTTTTAGTACTTAAATATGATTTTATTGAATATAAAAGTCAGTAAATCACCTTTTTCAATATCTTTAAAAAAGTAAATTATAGAAATATTAGGCACATGGGTTCGTAAAGGTCAATCTCGTAATCACGTGGTCAAACATTTTGGCAATATGGCGGCCAAGTGCCGGAATTGTTTACCTGTCGGAAACTATTAGGAAGTTTATGTTAGTACTAAGATTTTTATTTGTCCGTCCCTGGCTTATCAACAGATTATATATAGTTTTATCAAGGTATGCTTCACTTTACTTCATGGCATGTTCGATGAATGAATACAAGCGTGTCAGATTCCTGGCACGATTATTGGTGGACTTTTCCAACGGGGTTGTCTTCAGCGTTCACGTCATGTCATAGTATAAAAAGGGGTACGCTGAAGACCTTAAGCTAATAAACTACATGAAGTAGGTACGAGACCACAAGTGACTTCGATGTTTCGATTTTTTATGTGAGAAAGTTTTCTAACTACCGTACAGAACGTCGGTGCCCGTTCGTACCTTTATTTATACCCAAAGGGGCACTTGTAAAACTGGAAAGTCGCAACATGATCATGTCAGTTTTGGTGAGCCGTGAAACCAAACCAAAAATGATCTATATTACCTGAATTAAAAGTTATTTTTAAAGCTTCATGTCTTTAAACATTAAAAATTTAAGCCATGGCAACTACATTTTTATTTGTTTGGGTCGTCAGACTCTGATATGCTTATTTGCAAAATCAGAAAGTAGTCCGAACTCCTCGAAGCGTTTACTTACCTTTATAAGTACTTTAACGCCGAAAAAATAAGGGGAGATCACTGCGTAAAGATTGTCAAATGACAGGCGCATTCTTGGGGGAAGAAAAATGACTTTCCGATTGGTCGAAGATTTCGAATATTGTGTAATTCTTTACAGATATACATATAATGTTAAGCTCCATGATTATTCACATCAGTGTTAAACAAAAATTATTAAGGGTTACAAACACCAATTTAAAATGATATGGTTTTCTTCAGGCTGTTATAACTTCCCCGTGGTCGAGGGGTTACACGCTCGTTTAGGAAGAGAGAAGTCCTGAGTTCAAATCCTAGTTAATGCAACTCATTTGTTGTTTTTTGTTTTTTTTTTAATTGTTTAAGCCAAATAAATATTGAATTGAATATCAATCGCAATGAGCCTTATAGCCAATTTACTTGTTATAACAGTGGAAACAGCATTGGTGGCACTATACAAAAACAAATTGGTTAATATTCTCACAACCTTCACCTTTCTGACATTCTGAGATTCAAACAAATTCAGCGCCTTCTGTGCTTTGATTTAATTAAACATGACCACTATATTGCAAAATTGTAACTAGTGACTTACTTATTATTAACAAAATATAAATATATATATAATGTTATCAAGTTATGATATTCTTCAGCAATTTAGGTCATGACCTTGTTTTATTTTGTCAGGATGAAGCAAAAAGACATATCTTACACTTCACTAAAACTAAAAGAAATAAAAAAAAAAAACAACAACAACAGTAATTTTGTTTGTTTGTTTAATTTTACACCTTGTTCCAACAGTTTTTCAGTCATATAGGCGGGTAGTTTCCTAAACATAGTTCCTGGAGAGTTACACCAGTACTAGACTACCTTCCTCCGTGCTAAACTACCAAAGCATCTCCCGGGGATCGAACCCACGCCAGAGAGGTAACTGTATAAGAAGTCATCGACTCTAACCCCTCGACCACGGAGGCGGTCACAGCAACAATAAACACAGCATTATAACAACATTTTTTCCTATAAAACAATCATTTTAAACACAACTACCTGATTCTGTGAAGATCGAAATGTTTAACATGCCCTAGGTGCTTTTAAATAGGACAATTACATGGAGGTTGTAAATGTTAAGCGTGATCTCTTGTAATATAATGCACAAATACATATTAACATTTAAAGTAAGCATACTGATACATTGCAAAACAGGTACCAGGGTTATTGTTTAAATTAATAAAATGTATTAACTATGGAAAAAAATCACTCGCATTATAATTTAAACTAAATTTTTATATATTTTATTTAAGAATTATTTCAGGCAGAAATTGTGTGTGTACCGTATCTTTTGAAATAACATTGTGTTCCGTACCATTTCAACATAACTTTATGAAAAAATATGCTAAAACATCACTGCATTCACCCGATACATTGAACATAGTAAACATATCAGATTTAACATGTATTTTTCTATGAAATAGCGGCAAAAAACATATGACTTCCTAGAAATCGCTTCTTATGACAAATGAGTGTGTACTGTTCCCCTTGGCCCCGGCTACAAAAAAAACTGTACTCGAATGTTCCCAAAACCATTCAGGGGTTTTCAGAACTTTGATATACCGTGGAAAGCTGATATAATTACGGGTACTCTACGCCTTATCTGATTAAAACCGGTTGAGTAATAAATAAGTTATGCATAAAAAACATACCTGAATCGGGTGAAAAATCGGCGTGCTCCGTACCCGAAAAGTCACGTGGTATGGCCACATTGTTATTTATAGCCGGTCTAAAATAACAAGCAGGTAACAATAAGTCAGTTTTTTTGAAAATTAATGATTGTTTAGCTAAAGCATCTACTTTTTCATTACTTCGTACATGACTTGGAATCCAATATAATTTAACAGATTTTGTTTTAAGTATATCATGAAATCGTAAAAGAAGTTTCGTTATCATGATATTGTCAGATTTTTTATTTTTAATGGATATTAAAACAGAAAGCGAGTCAGAAAATATCACAAATTTATCATTGGTATGCTGTACTATGTATGACAATGCTAAATCTATAGCTTTTGCTTCAGCAGTAAAAATTTAACGGCACGTCAACACATTCTACATTATCTGGTTACCTCATACTAGATGTAAAATTATTTTCAAACACAGCCGCACTTACTTTGCAACCTTCGTATAAATATGTATAAAATCTTCATGTTCTTCCTTAATTGCTAGAAACTTCTCTTTGAAATGTTCAGGTGAATTTGATGACTTTTTTATATTTGAAATGTTAATATTTATTTTCGGGGAATTTAAGTCCAAGGTGGAATATCCTCATCGACATTTTGAAGGATACTGTCTGGATTAATTTTAAGTTTATCTAAATCATCTTTTAAACGAAGGCCTAATGGTTTAATTTCCTTTGGTTTGTTAACAATTTTTCAGTATAACTTGGTTTGAAAATAATATTTTTAGCTGGAGTTTTGCTATTAGATGAAATTCTAGTTGCATATTGAAGTGATAGCTTTTTCTCGACGAAGATAAAGCGATGGTTCCCCAGCTTCCGCATATAGACTTTCTACAGGTGATGTGCGAAAAGCACCTAAAGCTCAACTTAAACCCTGGTGATGTATGGTATCTAGCATTTGAAGATATGATTTTCTTGCAGACCCATATACTACATAACCATAATCTAATTTTGATCGGATAAGACTTCTGTATAATTTCAGTAATGTGGAAGAATTTGATCCCCAATTTGTACTTGATAAAACCTCAAGTAAATTTAAAGCTTTTAGGCATTTAGTTTTCAAATGGTTAATATGTGGTATAAAAGAAAGTTTTTTTATCAAATATAATTCCTAAAAACTTAGCTTCAACTACTGGAATTTTAGAACCATATATATAAAGTTCAGGGTCATTATGGTGTTACTGCAATCGACAAAAATGAACACATTGAGTTTTTGTTGAAAATTTAAAACCATTTTCTATTGCCCACTTTTGAATTTTATCTAAATTTTGTTGAAGTTGCCTTTCAATTGTTCTCATACTTTTCGATCGATAGGAGATAAAAAAAAATCGTCTACATATAGAGAACAATCTATGCCTGGTGTAAGAGCGCTAGCAATATTGTTTATTTTAAGGCCAAAAAGTGTAACAGAAAGTATGCTTCCTTGAGGAACAACAACTTGTTATTGTTGGTGGTCCTCCGAAAAAGTTGAACCAAGTCTTACTTTAAAGTGCCTATCGTTTAGAAATCCAGAAATGAAAAGAGGAAGTCCAGCATCCTTTAGATCTTTTAGGATACCATATTTCCAAGTAGTATCGTAAGCCTTCTTAAGATCAAAGAAAATTGATACCAGGTGTTGTTTATTTACAAAGGCTTCTCTAATAAAAATTTC